CCGACGACTTCAACCCCACGGAAGCTGTGCCGACTCGCGAGGCAGCGTGACCTCGACGTGACGCAGGCCATGGGGCCTTCGACCCGCCCTTTTTGCGACCGCCTGGCTTGCGTTGAAGCTGCAATCAAGTACTACGCTTTGCTTTGCCACGTTACAGACCTCGTTCCGTGGCCGTCACATGCCTTGTTACAAACCCCAGCCCGGGCGCGCGATCCCCCTCTTTGCACCGCCTGGCTTGCGCCCGAGCTGCGGAGGCGCACTTTGCGTACTGCGCTTTGCTTTGCCTCGTTACAGACCTCGTTACATAGCCGTTACATACCTTGTCGCAGACCCAACCCGGTAACCCCAGCCCTGGCCAGTGACCCCCATCGCTTGGCGTTGTGTCGGCAGTTGCCAATTTCAAGCTAGGAAGCGTGCCTTGCGCACTGCGCTTGTACTGTACGTAGAACTTTAGAACTTTTGAGCAGGAGCTGCTGCTCTGCGTTGTTCTGCGCTACAATGTGCTACTGACACTACTTGACAAGAGATGTTTCCCCGTCACAGACCTGCGTAACAAGGACCTCCGTTACAGACCTCCGTAACACGATTCGTGGCGCGTCGCGCGTTGCAGACCCTCAAAAAACATAGCCATACAGGTGTTTGATTGAATTATATATATAAATGTATATACATAATGTGCTTCTATCTGTGAGCGGGGACAACTCTACACAGCAACTCCGTGGCTTGCCAAACATGTTTTGCTGGCTTGTGGCTTGTGGGTGTATCGACACTGCCAACATGCAAGCTGCGTTTCACTGCCCAAAGGGGCAAAGACTCTTCGCGCCAGATGTCCCTGGGAAGGTCTGAGTTGAGCGGCGCCGCTGCCAACTATGTCATGTGCACACTTGACTGCTCCTGTTGCCTTGTTGGTTCGCGTTGTTGTTTATTGCTTTGCTGTGCCCCATCTAGTTTGTTCTTCGTTCCCCCTGGCTCCTCTATTTCTTTTTGGCGCACTGTTGCGTAAAGGATGATTGACCTTCTGTTTGTTGCTGTGTTCAAACTTTCCCTGGGGCGTGGCCGCCGAATATCCGAGCGACTGCGGCTCAGGTCGCCAAACTATGGCGTAGTTTGCGTTTCGTCTGCGTGAGCTGGCGCAGGCCCTGACCTACGGACGGAGACCTCGCTGCAGACCCAACGTAGAAAAGGGACCACACGAGGGATGGGTATGAGCTGTGTTGTTGTTGCGTCCTAGATTCCCCTTCGGGTTGGTTTAAACATCACCCTGGGTCAAAGAGGTCCCTGATGGACTCGTGCAGGGATGTTTTTGGTCTTGCTATTGACAGAGTCAAGCAGCAGTAGCAGCCAGACCCGCACAGCTGAAGACATCGAATCCCACTCGTGCAACTTTCAGTCTATTCTGTTTGCTCCTCTTTTGTCATCCAGACCTGCATTGGTGCCCCTTTCTTCTGCTTTTGGAAGGGGTTCCCTGAACAACAAAAAAGCTACCAACAAATGAGGGCCAGTGGGGTTTGGAGTTATGTACTCGTTAGCTTCTGTGTATGCACTCAAAACTTGAGTTCACTTTGGTTTCCGTTTTGTTAAAGTCCTTGCCTTTGATTCGATGCCTGCGCCTGCTCTGGAGTTGGCTCAGTTGGCAGTTAATTGAGCACGATCACAGAGGAAGTGAGTAGACCATCGGGGGCACAACCAGGGCACGTCAAAAAACCACGACCACCTTGGAGCCACTTCTACCCCCACGCCAGCATTGCAAGCAAGTGACCTACACTGGCTGCGGTGTGGTGCGTGTTGTGTTTGTCGTAGTCCCGAGTGGCAGCACAGGCAACATGTCCATCCCATGGATGCCAAAAGAAGTGCCGCGAGCCTACGTAGCTCTCTGGGCAAAAGTCGGCTCTGAAACTGTAGGTATCAGTCTTGGTTTCTGGTGTTGCAGCAGCTTCCTTCGAGCCAGAGCTCTCACCATTCGCACAACAAGTAGCTCTTTCAAGCTGAGCTCCCAAGTATGGATGGTTTCTTGCCGTCGTGAGCCAAATGATGTAGACAGTATGACTGAGGTCCCACCGGCTCTTCGAGCGGCCTCATGAGATGATCAATGCGCGGCCTCACAACGACCTCGGCCGAGTCGGTCGCAAACGACGGCAAGGGGACTCCACACTCAGTGTCCTAAGATTCGGGACCTTGAGTCAGGGGACATGTTCAACGGGTTCTTACAAACGGGTTCCGATCGAATGCGCCAAAGAAACATCAGTGTAGCGTCCTGGGACCATTTCTGGGGTTGCTGGTAAGAGATACCGGAGAAAACCAAGAATGCTCAGGCCATCGGAGTCAAACTGAGCGCTCAAAACCCCCAAAGGGTCACGGTTATAGTTACTCCAATTCTTCAATGGGGGTTGTTGTATGACCTAAGCCTTTAAGATCATGTTGGTACCAACAAGCAATGGATGTTGGGCGCCGCTCAAACGGATTGCTCGAATCAACCCGCTGGGTGCAACTTGGGCCAATGCTGTTGGCCTTCCACATGCTCTGCTTCAATCGGGTTCCCATCTCGCCATCCCTGGAAGCCATCCAACGACCATTCTTGAGAGTCAGTATTGTTGCCAGTAAAACGACCTGTGATAAATGGGGTGTTTCTCTTGGCCTTGCAACTTTGAGAAATCCAGCGTGCCTCACTCCCGGTCGAGTTCGTTTCGGACTTGATCGTCACTTTTTGGGTTTGGACCATTTTAGTGGAGAGAACCATCCTGGACGTTTTCTGGCCACTCGGGAATTGAGGAGAGATGTTGCCAGCTTTTTCCTTTTCGAGGTGAAAACCACATACCTGCTCTCCACGTCAGCGGTTGCTGGCTTCCTGGCCCGAGAGGATGGGAAAAGCCCGGACCCCAAGCCGGGAGAGATGCATTTTCCTTGACACGTGGGGGTGTCTTTTTTGTGGGGGGGTGCCCCGTTTTGGTTGGTTTAAAGGGAAGCCCAAAAGGAAAACCGCTTTTTTTGAGGGCCCTTAAACACAAACACAGACACAGACACAGACACAGACACAGACACACACACACACCACACACACACACACACACACACATGTGAGCGGACAATTCTGTGACTGGACAAAGCCCGCGTCGCAGCAGTTGGGACGGATCAAACCCTATGATTTTTGGGTAACAACCACATATCCACTGGTGCAGGTTGTTTTTGTCCCATCCGCTGTTTTTCTGGTTTTGCAGGTTGGGGCGTAATTGTTTTTGTGTTGGTCGGCGTATTGTGCTCATCCTGTCAGCAGTGCAGGGAACCAGTAGGCCTGGCTGAGGTCTGTGGTTCTTTGCATGGAACCTCCAGGTAGGTGTGTCTTAAAATAGGGCACCAGCAATATGTTTTCCTTTTTAGTGTCCCGTGAAAATCACCTCAAACAGGGTACCCAAATGAAAGAGACACACCCGAGTAGCCCCAATGGGCGGACACCCAACGTGCAGAATCCCAAGCCATGTTCGAACATGTTTTTCAGCAGCGGTCCCCAAACTTCCCTTGTTTGGGAGTTTTAAACATCACCAGTTTGGTTTTTTAAACATCGCCTGTTTGGCCCATTCAAGTTTAGCTTCCCTTGGCAAGGACTGTTGGGTGAGTAGGTGAAAAGTTGCCACTTCAAACTTCCCCACCCAAATGCGCGCTGCCTACTTCTTTTTCCGGTGCGGTTTTCCCGCTGCGTGACTTTCGGGCGGATGTCCGAAAACTTTTCTTCGCCTTCTGGCATGTGGGAAGGCGTTTTACATTTGGCCGGGCTTGGAAATCAGACTTGGAAAGCTGGCCATCCTCAGGGTGTTTCTGCCCTGTGGGCAAAGACCCCCTCAAAAGATGACCTTGAACGATGACTTTGCAGTTTTGGGCTAAGATGCAGTGCACATCATACCGGTCAACGGTGCCCTTAGCCAGCGAAATGATCTGCACCGTCTTTGGCAAGCTCACCGGGAAGTGCAGCAAGCTCACACATGGGAGAAATACCACACACACAATCACTTTTCAGAGGGTTCCCTTGATTCAGGTGTCGGAAGGTGTGTGGCAGTGCTATGAGTTCTGCGTATGGGTGTGATTTGAATTGGGCACATCGTGGTGGACATGATTTGGGTGGGGACTTTGTCCGACAACTTTGTCCACCAATCCTTTAGGAGGGACTTCCCCGTTGAAGTTCATGGCCATATTTGAGTGTGTGTTTTGTGAGGGGACCCAACAAAATGATATGGTTTTCTCCCTTCAGAACCACCAAACAAGGGTACCAACTCCAAAAGACAGGCGCACCCAAATAGGTTTCAGACCACCGTCTTCCATGCTTTCGGCACGTGGCGGGGACCATTCCAGTGGCCTAAGGACCTGCCTGGCGCCCGCCGGCACGTTTTGGCAATGTTCGGCCACGCAGAAACCGGCAGACCACTAAACTCTAAATCCGTTCCCCCTAGTAATGAAACACCCCCCGGAGACAAGTGATTGTTAGGGGGTCCCAGTTCTAGGTTTGGGGTGTCCAGTCTTGTGACGGCAGGGGTCTCTTATTAAGACTGGAAGAGAGGTGGAATGTGGGCTATTTGGGGGGAGCGAATTAGATTGTTTGTCTGAAACTGTGGCAACTGCCAAAATGTGTGTTTGTGTTGGCCTTCCCTTTGAAAGCCTGTAACTGTAGAAGGGTATCTCAAAAGAAATCAGCGAAATGGAGTTGGGCTCACATTCCGGGCATTCCATGGAGGCTGTTCAGCTGGATTCGCGGTCTTTCAACGGTGCCCAAGGGCTCCCTATCCTTAGCCCAGATGTCCTTGTGCAGTCTGCTGCGGCGTTTCTTGAGCAAGCTTGCGTGGGCATTGCAGAGACCTGCCGATTGCAATTGGTCCATTGCGAGGGTGCACACAGCTGACCCAAGAAGGTTACACGCAAAACACACGCGTATGTTGTTTCTTGGTCAACTTCGTGTCAGCATATGGCGCAAGCCCACCTGCGTTGAACCAGCCAGGTTCAACCGAGCACGGCTCATGCCGGTGAGTGCACTGACGCCGGGGTCCCGAAACCATAAGTTTGTGCATGGAGAAAGTGTCAGACATTTCACAATCCAATTGACGTGTTTCCTTTTTTGTCCGGATTGAAACACGTACAAGGATCTGTACCACTTGGGCTTCTTGTACGCATGCCATTTTAGGGCGAGGGTACAGATCTCGTTTCTCTTTCGCATCGTCTGGGCTGCGGAGAGTTGTCGTTTTTGTGGCTATGTGGCCAAAAGAGCGAGGCAGAGCATGCTTTCAGGATTGCCATCCTTGGCATAAAGGCCGAACTACAGGGCGGTTTTTAGGTTGTTAAGAGTAAAACACAATATTTCTCTTTAGGTTGGTTTGAACATCACCCTTTCGGCCCTTTCTGCGGGTTGTAAGGGGAAAGATAGCGGACCTGAACTGACCTGAACTCCTGCCGAATGGTGCTTTTGGACGTTTGGGACTACGGGTAGTTGCCCATTTGGACCAAGGGCAGGCCGTTTCAGAGTGGCTGGCTTTTCCCTCGAGTTCGTTGAGCAAGCATTGCAATCAAGTCTCACAGAGACACCTTTGATTGCCTGGGGTCTTCTCCAAAATATTGTTTGTCAGGGTCGACTAAATAAGAGCAGAATATGAGAATATGTGTGGGGTACCCCGCCTTGGGCCAAGTTGCAAGGTTGTTCGAGAAATATGGTTGAATCATCAAAGGCCCGTTTGGCGCAGGTTAACCTACAAAGTTATGTGTGAAACCTTGGAGAATCTAGACAACCAGCAGGGTTTCCACGATGCTCGCTGATTCCAGGCTTCGGTTTTTGGGTCTCCCGGGATTTTTCAGCTTTGGGACCCAGTGGATGGACAAATCCACAACACACATCAGTTGGGATTGGTGGTTTCTTCGAATGTGCCATTCGGGTTTCATCCATCCCACGAGCCACCCAACCAAGGAATACCGAATGAACTCCAAAATCGACTATCCCGGTTGGCTTGGCTTTTCGCTAGGCCGGACCTGCAGGAGCACCTTGCCAACTGCTGCCACGTGATCTGCATGAAGGCAAGGGGCTTTGTGGTTGGGGAAAGCAGGGAGTACACCATGACTTGCAGCAAACCAAGTTCGGGCCAAACCTTGTGGGGCCTTGCGGAGAAGTATTCGCGGCAATCGGGGGAAGAGGACTGTCTTGATTCAGGAGAGGGTGCATTGCACTTGTCCAGGGTCAACATCATGGGTTGGAACAACCTGGTAAAAGTTTAGCCAGTTAGAATTTGAGTTGGATCTCTTAATTGCTTTTCTTTTTGGGAACCACTCCTTTGCCCCAGCAGTCCTGTTCCGGTTCACCCGTGCGGCTTTTTGCGCAGTTGTCGATCTTCGCGCAGAGTCACCAAGTTGTGATTAGGAAATGGGGGATGTTTGGCCAAAGTCTAAGAGTCTATCGACATCAGAGGGGCACTGAGATTGACCGAAACGGCGCAATGCTCGCGAGGGGTTACAAGGCATGGTCTTGGTTTTATAAAGAGTTTCCTTTCGGGAACAAACTCCACATCTTGTGAGGTAGCCCCTAGTGGTTTGGATTGGTGGTTTGGATTTAGATTTGATTCCCTTGTTCTTTTAGAGGGTAAATGGGAAACCCTTCCTCAACCACCAATCCACCGGGCTCCAAAGCACCAGATAAAGAAGGAAATTGAGGCCTTGTTCAAGGCCCTATTTGGAGACAATCACATGATGAGTTGTCAAAAGTCCGTGCTCAGCAGACATATGAGAAAGTGCATGAATATCCCATCCGGGCAAGCAGTTCTCCGGACATGATGTGTATGTGTCAGGATAGGGAGCCCAGTGGTGGCTTTCAAGTTGGGAAACCTGATGCGAGACCTTCGAATCCCTGAGGTGCGACAGGAGGTCACCAACGAGCACGCGCTGCGTGGGCGATCAGCGGCCGGGAGGCGCTCAAGTTGGCCTCGGTGGGCTGAGCCTGAGCTCTCTTTGGAGCCGTGTTGACCCAACCCAAAGATATCCATGGGACATATTTGGGTGTGTCTCAAAATAGGGGAACCCCCCTAAAATGAGTCGTGTTCACTTTGGTTGCCCTTTAAAACCACGAAGCAGGTTACCATCAACCGTTTGGGTGTGTCTTTTAGGCAACCCCCTTTAGTTTCCTTTGAACAACCCAAATGGGAAGCCCTAATAACAAGCAACAGACATATCCTTTTCATGGGCCCCATATAGGGTACCTATAGAAAGGTGGGCTGGATGTGTGCCCTTGTGAACCAGTCCTGATTCAGCATCGCTGTTGGCGGAAAGTCAAGGTCGACTTCCAACCAAGGAGGGTTTGCGTTGGTCAACAATTATCTTTGTGAAAACTCTGGAGAATCATGGAACTAGAACTTACATATTTTGATACCGCAGCTAGTAGCTGCATTTGTTGTTTCTTCTTTTGCTTACCTCTTTTGCGCAATCCAGTTTTGCCGTCAAATGTTCTGGCGAGTTCTGGTCTTATTGTTTCATGCATCCAGTGCAACTGATCCGTCTATTGCACATGCAGCTGCAGTTTCAGGTACATGTGCGTTCTGCTTCGAATCTTGTGCATTTCCGTGCAGCTTCCCCAATGCTTTTGCCTATTGACCGGATCACACGGCGGCATGGGGTGCCATGATTCTGGAAATAAACAATTGCGGTATGATATGGTCAGCTGACCACCTTGAGTGAGAATGACTTTCTAAGACTACATATGTATATATATATATAATATATACACTACATATATATATATATATCATGAAACCTCGTATCTTGGGGCGCCAATATATGTTGTCGCAGTCTCATGTTTGCTGTATGGCGAAGTATTTGTTGAGCCAAGCTCTGACAGAGGCACTAGGCTGAGTCGTTCGGATGCATTTCATTTGTGCATTCACTTGCAGGACAGTTCAAGGACCAGGGTTTTACTGTCCCCCAAAATCCTTTCTCACAGGCAAGATCATTCCGATATGTTTCATCCATGCCCTGTCTTTCGCAGGGTGTCCCCTTCCTTCTACTTGGCCCAATGTTGATTGATTGATCTTCCTTCAGGTGGAGCGACGCTGGGGACAAGAAGGGTGTGTCTCAAACAGCGGAGCCTCCAAAATTGGGAATCCTTGTTCTTCTTCAAGCCCACCACAAAAGGATACCCTGAAAAATGAGAAACCCACCGGCCCAGCGATGGCCCCTTGCAGGCCAAACACCGAGTGGCAGGCGGGCCTGCTGTGCTCGGATCTCAGGTCGATTCCCAACCCTCGCGGACCCCGAAGAAAAGCTCAGCTGCTGAGACTGTGAGCCAAACATGGCAATGGCGCATCTCTTGATTTAAACATGCTCAACTTGCTGGTTCTCAGCAGCAAATGAGAGAATGACCGCCCATAAACAATATTTTGTGGTCTTTTTGAAGGGAAACCCTAGGTTGATTGCCAAAACCCTGGGTCATTCCCTAATGAGAGCACCAGCAAGTTAAACAGAATCTTGGCCCAAACCCGCTAGGGCACAGGCAAAAGCCTTTGGGAGAGATGTCAATCACTCGCAACGGGTTTGATGCCTTTGTTTTTCTGGGAACATTGAACAATTAGGGCAGCCCTGGTCTTCATGCATCAAGCTGGAGACCCAAACAAGAAAAGGTTTTCCGGCCGGATGCATTCTCATGAGAAAGTAGACCCACATATTTGTCAGAAGGTCAGCTACATGTTACAGAACTTGCTGCATAACATAATGTCCGAGGCAATCAGATGTTGTGCGTGTGTGTGTGTGGCATCCCACTTAGTTAGCTGTTAAGTTGTTGTCAAGATCAAATGCCGGCTCGGTACGTAGAGATAGGCTACGACTTTGTGATTGTAGCAGCTCGAAGGGTTGGGCTTGGGGTTCTTTCACTAGGGTCTGCTCCTTCTGTCATGGAGGACCAAGCCAGGTTGGAACCACGCGCAGGAATGAGTGACGCCAATCCCCGCAACCGAGGGGGGACATCCAAATGTTGTCTTCATAAGTTGCTTGGAGTGTGCCTGGTTACGCAAGCAATAACTCGAGAGAGCGAGAGAGCATGGCAAGAAGCTCTGAGTCTACAAGTTTCGCACAGCAAGTGACCAGATCCTGAGTTTATGTTCGAAAAGTCACAGGGACAACCGCTCCGCCCCCCGCGTCGTTCTAAGGCCTGGAGACCAACGCCCATCGTTTCCATGAGTTGCAAACAGGCAAGCTTTTTCCAACGGGCGCAGTGCCTTCTGAAAAACTCGTCACCGTCAGGCGCTGTGTGGCACCGTCTGCATTGACATACTGCGGATGGGCGAAGTCCGTTCGCACCACTTTGAAACCACGAGAAACCAATTGTTGTTGGTATTTACCGGAGAGTTCTTAGCTGCAGGAATTCGTCCGGCCATCAGCCATGGTTTGAGAGAAGCGTCTCCGAGGTGCCCGGGTGCTTTGGCGAGCGCTCTTTTCAGCAGCGGCAGCCAAGGCCATGGCTGAAACAATTGAACTACCCTAAGGGTCCTGAAAGAATTTGGGGCCCGCGGGTCTGGTGCGGGGACCCCTGGGCTCCCTTTTGGTAAACATCCCCATGGAATCCAGACAGGAGCAACGAACGAAATCTGAACGCTTCAATCGACCCCGTCCAAACAATGGAGGAAATGTTCCGCTCGGGTTTCTTGACGTTTGTTGGTATGTGCAAATGCTGATATGTTGGAAGTTTTACCTCAGGTATTGGGAACGTGCAACAGACAACACGCTTTGTTTAGTGGCGTTCAGGAGAAGGCTTTCTGGGAATGTCGGAGGATTCAAGCGGTAACAGTTCTCATTTGCTTCTTGCCTCGAGGATCTTTAGTTCGGCTTCATCACATGTACCCTCCCAGGAGATACTGGGGCGGGAGTACACAACCACAGATTTAAGTTGTTCCAACACTGGATTGGCCCTGAAATCAATGCTATGGTTTGCTACTTGGTCGGCTGCAGAAGGGATCGGTGTGCCATGCGGCCATGTGCTAAAACATCCGGGGATATCCTTACATTCAGAGATTCATGATCAACACAGCCCTGATAAAGTATTGCTGAGGGTGGTTGCTTGATCATGGTTGATGTCATCTTGCAGTTGCTTGAGGACTCATGCTTTCTTTGGAGGTATGACCACGAATGGCAGATTTCGTAGATCCAGTCGGGTGTTTTGTGCTACTTCTCCCTAGTGCTCCCATCATCTTTACTGGTCGGGGGTTGCTTTTCCCCGCACATGTTAGCATCGCCTGCGAGTTTGTTACGTTCCCAAACGGAGCCTGATGGTCCTGGTTTAGACCATTTTCCTCCAAAAGGGGCCATCTCTCCGGCGGGCACCATGTTTGGGAGGGTAGCACCGGTCTTGGATAGGGCGAGCTCACCAATGGGGTAAAGGATTCATCTCGCCATGTTGTAGGTCTACTTGAAAAGCGCTTGCTTCAGGTATTGGACAAAATTTATTTACTTGCAGACCAAATACTGTGGTCTTCTGGACCGAAGGTCTCAGCATGGCTTACTTCCTGAGTTCTGTTTCGGACTTGAGTCACTTTTTGGGTTTGGAGCATTTCGGTGGTAAGCCACAAGCTTGGTTGCTTGTTTTCTGGCCAACCCACAAAGTTGAGGCGCGGTTTCACTTTTCCGGCTAAACCGGACACCGACCCGACGTTGCAGGCCCCAGCCTCCAAGAGGGCTGTCCCTGGGCTGGCGCCTTGGAGACTTCGCTCCAAGTGCGGCAAGGAGCCAACAGCAATGAACCAACAATTTGCTGAAAAGGAGGGTTCCAAAGAAAAGACGAATCCAGAAAGGAACCCCTAGAAAGTAGACCCCCAAGGAGTTCCCCCTGGAAGGGAGTCCATGTCTTCCATTTCCTGAAAGGATTGTTCTTTTTGATTTCCCTTGTTGGTTTTTACGGGAATCGATCACCACTGGAAATATGTTCCCATTGTTTCCAGGGGGCGAAGAAGAAACTGGAAGAACGGCAACAACAAACGCAATAGCAATGACAGCAAGAACAGCTGCAACCATGCCGACCATGCGCAACAGCAGCAGCAAGATGTTGAAGCGAGCGAAACGAGCAACACGACAGGCGGGAGGTCGGCAGTCACTCGCCTTGCTGAGGGTCTTCATGGCTGCCTGCGAAGGGCTGAAGCAGGCCAGGTATGTAGATAGGCGGGTAGCTATTGGTTGGTTGGTTGGTTGGTTGGTTGGTTGGTTTGGTTTGGTTTGGTTTGGTTTGGTTTGGTTTGGTTGGGTTGGGTTGGGTTGGGTTGGTTGGTTGGTTTATTTGGCCGGTGAATCATCTTGCTTTGAAGGGCAGCACCAGCTTGTTGTGCCATTTGGCGGTGAAGGATCTGAAGACACAAATTTGGATCTTCCAAAAAGACCGCTTGCCTAAGAAGTCCAACAAGTGATAATTGTTTGCGTTCCATCTCGATCTACAGGGGGAGTATTTCAAGATGAATCCACACCAATCCATGAAAGCCAGGCGTGCATGGCTGTTTTGCTGGTATGCCACAATGCTGGTGAGATGCCTGCAGTTAGGAGAAAGTGGATGGCGCAATTCTCCAATTGCAGTTTTGTTGTCCCCTTTACTTGCAGACAGAAATTGTACCGTTGAAATGGGATATGGCGCATGACGCGTACCCGGCATGAGACATGGATTGCCCCACGTGACCAAACAGTAATTCCACGTCATGAACCGTGGTGTCTATCGCTGCCTTTCCGCTACGCTACCTGGTGTTGGACAAATCACGCCCGGGTCCTGGCTGCATGAAGCCACACTGGAAGCTGATTTTGCCTCATCCTAAGTCGGCAATCCTTGGAGCGCCAGTTGCAACGTCATGCCGCAACCTGGCGGGTATTGGGTGCCAGATGCCTCGCACGGGCCGACGGGCCTCCCCGAGTTGCCTCCCCGATGCCTCGTGGAGTTCAGGGTGCCCTTATGGGGTTGCCTTAAGAAGGAAACCAAGGGGAGAAGCCGAATTTGGTCCAAATCCCAATTTCGACACATACCCTAGTGATTGTTTGATGCGCCCTGGAGCGACTGCCTAGGTGCAGAAGCGATCATTCCTTTTTTCTCCGATTCCCCTTCTGTGACGGAAAAAACGCGCAGGGAGTATGCCAAACGGAAAAACGCGCAGGGAGTATGCCAAACGGAAAAACACGCAGGGAGTATGCCAAAGAATCCCGGAACCTGCCTGGAACCAGAACCCACGGAACCCTTGGCTGTCGTTGCTCGGAATACACTTGCTGTTGCGATAGGCAGGGAACGAGGGAATGACCCCCCATAAACCATCCCTTGCGATTTCCTTAAAGAAAATCCCCAAAACCGGTTCATTCAACCAACACCCGGACTCGGATTTCATTCCCTACCTATCGCACCAGCAAGTACAACACACACATAGCGACCCCTCAGCGAGCGACTGCGTCTCGCAGGCGTCGCAGAAGCTGCTCACGAAGATATGGCGTGAGGCGACGGGATGGCCGGCGGCTGCTGCTGCTTGTGGGGGGCTTCCGCTTGTGGGCCAAATGGGCAGCTGGTCTTTTCTGAGAACAGCTTCTTGGCTGTCAAGAAAACCAAGAACATAGCTTGGGCCCAGGTTCCCTTATTTAAGACACACCCAAATTGATTCGATGAATCCAAAAGCCCACTCGAAGAAGTAACTTCTGAGAGGATATTCATAATAGCTGTTGTTGAGCAACAGACATGTTTGAACAGGTAGATGGCTTCAACTTTATTGATTTTCCTGAATAGGACGCCTCAGCAAAGCATCCAGGCAATTTCTCGAGTATGCTTGCTTGCAATCTTCAGCTTTAGCGACGGGCAAACCGCCATGTACATACCAAGATCACGGTGTATTCTTTGCCAACAAGCAAGAAGCGATGAGTCTTCCGAGCGGTACTGCGACCGCTGGTCCGAGCCTGTTCCTTCGGAGTTCGGAGCTGTTTCTGAATCCGGCGAATGAGGGGGAAGCACTATCCCCTTCCCTTCGGTTCATGAACCTCCCATGTCCTTGGGTTTTGAGTTGTTTTCTTTTTTTGTTGTTTTCCGTAGTGAAGGATCCCTGAGCAGAATGGGGAAGATACGCTTAGAAAAGTATCACGGACCCTCCGAAGCAAACCTTGTATGCAGCCTCTCCTACGAGAATTACCTCATGTTCAGGTTGAAGGTACTCATCAACCGCGTCGGTTTTCGTGCCGGCAAGCGGCAAGTCCGTTGTTGATCTCAAGCTGCACGTGGTCCTGAGCCCGAAGCGGGCATGTGTGCATGCGCAGGTGCAGGTGCAGTTTACGTCTAAAGAGAACAAGCTGCGGCCTTGGGGAGTTTCCAGGTTGCCTGTGTCTCAAAGAGGAAGCTAATTATAGAACGGGTGGTTTCCCTTTAGTTTCCCCAAACAAAGACACACTCATTCACCCAAGTATTTGAGCTTGGGCAAGGCTAACACACGCCAGAGAACAAAGAATTAACGCACCGAACACTCGTGTGCAACTCCGAAGTCGCAACATGTGCGCGATCACTTTCAACGTGGGCACAGGGACCCCCACCATCGGGAAGCATGGATTCCATCGTTTGACACTCAGGTCCCCTCAAGATTCATCTTGGACGCTCCCACAGGATCGAAGTTCGAAATGCCTTCTTTGTTTGTGCCTCTTCTGGTTGGAGCTCTTTTTGGGTGTTCCACGACTTGTGTGCCTGTTGGAGACTGCCTGCTTTTGTTTCTTCTTTTTTTCTTTTTCTTCGGTGGCACACCGACATTTTGGGTCCCAAGGTACCGCAACATGAAGAGCCGGCCGGCCTGGTCCGTGCTGGAAGCCCACCAGTTTGAGGCCTTGGACACCCGTGGCTTCGGCAGTGGATGCTACCATGCTACCACATGGGGTCCCTCAACGCTTTTCCTTTTGTGACACGTCATTGGGGGTGGTTTCCTTTAAATCGTCGCTTAGAGATGATCAATTTGAGGATGCCACTTGAATGGACCCGGAAATAATCCAGTTGTTTAGAGGCTCCGTTTTTTCTTCTTTGTGTTTGGTAGGTACCCCACTAAGTTGGTCAACCCCAAGTCACCGAGCAATTGGTTTCGGAATGATTTGAGCTCACTCCAGATCGAGAAAACAAACACTTCGGACCTTTTTGTTGCCAACCCACTCAGGAAGTGAGCCAATTCTTCATCGGACTGCAAGCACCAACTTGAAACTCATATACAGATTTACATGAGTTGGTTGGAGATGCCATCGGACTATTTTTGTCGGATGCTTCTTGAAGGAAATGGGGTCCGTGCCCCAGATCCTGCATCCTTCGAAAACAACCAACACAAAGGGTGCCTTCGAAGAGTTGGGAGAGAAGCATTCCCTTGTCCCATGGCATTGCTTTTACTACTCCACCCGGGACCCTCCAGTCAGGTTCCGTATGAATTAGTCTAGGTCCCCCAGTAGTGCCCTTCTCTCCTTTTTTGGGGAGGGTTCCCCTATAGTAAAATAAACTACAGAAAAAAGATCGGGTACCCCTATTCCAACCTCTTCCTACTGGAGGACCTAGTAGTACTACTCCATGAGCATCCCCACAGGTCTTTGGCAAGGACCGCGGCTTCGGAGTCTGCGACCCTGCACTGGTGGCGCCCTCGTCTGCCCGGCCCTCGGCGAGAGCTGGCGTGAGCCGAGCTGAGCTCGAAGAGCAGAGCTTTCCAGAGGAAGAGTCCGCGGAATTTGTTGGACCTATTTTGTTTTTCTTAGTTTTCTTTTTTTTTGGGGGGGAGGAAGCCTTTTGTTTAAAGTGGCGTCGATTGTAGTGAGTTTTCCCTAATTCAAGATCCTGGGACTGTTTCAGGGCTAACAAAAGTAACCAACTACCCTCTGTCCCACATCAGCTGCGGTTTGAAGTTTAAACGTGCGGAACAACCCATCAGCTGGACCAGTTGCGTGGCTCGACTCTACCATGGTCCGTTGATGTTGTGGACTGTGCAGGTGTTGTGTTTTGTCCTGCTTTGCGAGTGGTGTTTTTTTCTTTTCTTTTTTTTTTTTCTCTCTCTCTCTCTCTCTTCTTTATTTTTGCATGTTGAAGATTTATTGGTTAAACAAACGCATGGAAATATATTATGGATGAGACTAAGAACAACACCCAATGTAGGAAATACCTAAATTAGCCTAAATTGATTCTGACTGATGGTTCTCTCCTGTCTCTTTCATCCGTCGTTTTCTTCTTAATGTTGTCTGTGCAAGCCCGTGAAGGCCGGCACCAAGCCCGCCTCGAACCTGCAAGACTACCTCGAAGAGGTCCTTGCCTTGAGGCGATTTGTTGTGGCCACCCAGGGTTGGGGGGGAGCCGTGCCACGGACACTTGGAACTTTGGAGGTGTTTTGCTGTCATTGTTTTTCTCTGCAAAGATTTTTGTTGCCACTCGCCAGCAACAGTTTCAAATAAATCTGGTGTTGCCGACCTTTGCGATGAGGGAAGCAACAAAGTATTTTATTGGTGCCGGGCCCTGCAAACCATGAGTTTGTTGCACGCGCCGTCGATCACATGAGAATGGGACACTAACCCCGAGTTGAGCTTCTCGCGCATGCCGCAAGCTCCCTACTTGGGAAAAAATACTGAGAGTGAACCAACAAGCGGGCTAGACATTCAGCCACGCGAAGTCTGTTTGATCGTGTTGTGGGTCATTGGGAGACTGACATGCAGAAAGCACTCGTACTTTTGCCAGTGCGTGCCACTGTTGCGCACCTGTCAGAGAGATTGGATGGTGTGTGTGACGCTAGGCTGTTTAGTCTCCGGAGTCTGCAAATGTTGAAATCGTTTCCGCAAGGGAGCTGTTCCGATGGAGGGAGAGTTGAACATGCCATCAAGAGACTTCCAATTGGCAAGACTCATGTGAGCTAGCTTCAAAGGTACCGTCATTTTGACTATTGCAGGTTTGTATTCTTGAAAAACGACACGGGAAATCCAAAAAACGATACTGAAAGGCGATACGGGACGTCCTAACATCAGAATGAATACACCATAATGCACCCCAAATATTCGACGCTGGCAAGATTTCATATATGTATATATATATGTAATATATATATATATATATATATATATGAAATCTTGCCAGCATCGAATATTTGGGATATACATATTTATATTGTATATCATATAATATGTATATATATATCTACATATTTGCAGCACATTTGCAAGGTTGCAGGTTGCCACAAATTTGTTGTCCTCGATCCGTGGGTTTTTTAGACAGTATACAGCCATTGACCGGGGGAATTCTTTTCCGAGATGCCAATGCTGAACGTGACACCCCACGTGTGATCTTGCTGTTCTCCCTTTTTTCTCGAAGTGGGAATGTGTCAAGAGAGCCAAACTCGGCGTTTGCCAGGTTCGCCGTGGATTGGATGGCCTTGTCGATGGAGGACGCGTGAAGATGTTGTCATGTGTCGGCCGAAGCCCTGCAAAAATAATTACATCTTATCCATGTGTCTTATCCATGTGTCTCAATCACCTAATGCTGGTTTGGTTTTTGTGCATGTGTTCTGTTTATTCCGGGGAAACTTCGAAGGTAAGGCTGGTGAGTAGCAAGGGGGGAACGAGGGAACTGGCCACATCACACCAGGTGGCTCTTTAGCTTGTCTTGATGAATTTGATGGCATAGCGCCATTGTTGTCCTCGGTTGGTGGAAGCGCGACAAGCGATGGCTTGCATCCCTTTTCACACCAATTGTGAATGTGTGTTCCATTGCAAGAAAGCCGAGCGTCAAGTGTGTTGCATATTGCTGAATCAGCAAGTCCAGGACCCACTTGCTCTTGGGATAGTAGACCGCAGTAAGGAGAAACCTCGGCAGCTTGCTGCTGAATCTGCTTGCTATACACCAGTACAGTTCAATACAAGGAACCCCACATGTATCACACGGCACCGGCTTCGGAGGACGCGCAGGAATTCCTGGACCAAGCAACCAAGTGCCTTGACTGCGAATTGTGCAGTGGCAGCGCAACTTAACTTGACGGCTCATGAGTACTTTGCAGATGCACGAGCTGTGGTCCGTGTGCCCTTGTGTGTGTGTGTGTGTTCCTGTGCCCTTGGGCGTGCGATAGAGCGTGCCCGGACGCGTGCGCGCACCTTTACAAGTTCACAAGTGTTTGATTGCCTCATGAATAGCCATCAGACAGTGAAAACAGAATTCAGAATTTCCATCCTGTGAGACCCTTGATTCGTCCATACCGAAAGATTACACCAAGCCCTTGACGCAGTCCATTGTTTGATGCATGGTAAAAAATGCCTGGAATCTATGCAAGCCCGTTCCCCTTCGACTCCTGCAACGCTTCTCCCAAGCTATTTGCGAACTTGGGATCCCTAACAAGCAGTTTGCATCTGAGCATTTCCTGCAAGGAACCCCAGTCAAAGGGGAAGTCTTAATGGAATCTATGGACACCCCCACGTAAATCTACCACTTGAAGCTGCTGTTGTTCAGCTTTCGTTGTTCCCCTGGAATGGTGGTTGGATTCACGTCAGCTCCTGTGCCTAGATGTTCTGTTCGGGGGCTGCAAGCTTGGGATCGATAGATGCCATGTTTCATGCAGTCAGGTTACCTTCGGGCTTGTCAAACGGCAAGCTAAAGTAACCAAAGGAAGCTATTTTGCTCGGATAGTACTCCAATGATTTGGAACACCTTGTTTTTGTCCCAACGATGAATATTAGAATACCTATATATATATATATACATATGTGTTTTTTCAGATGTTTGAACCGACGCTGCAAGGGCACATGCAACTTACAAAACGTTCCCTCCTGTGACCCGTCTCCGCCTTGGGATGTCAGATCTGCGGGAAAATCATCTCTGCGGACCGATCAATCCTATTGGCAAATCCCCTCCACTTCCATGATCGGAGAAAGGGGCAACGGGATACCAGAACACCCCCCATGTTTTTGAGACCAACTCAGGACAGATTTGTTGGATGCCATCAACAAATACAAGTAAACCAACCATACTCAACCCGAAAACCATAATTCTGGGCAAACTAGAGGATTTCCCAGTTCCCCATCCTCTTATTTATAGTGAGTTACCATGTGCTTGCATGTTTTTGTATGAGTTACCCTAGTTTTGGTGTTTTATTGTAAACGCTTCGCGTTGCCCGCCTCCCAAGTGTGTACAGCCCAGCCCGCAGCAGCGTAGTCCGGCTGCCCGGCAGCCAGCAACCCACCCATGGCTTCGCAGCCTCGTGGCTGAGACTAGCTTCAGGCCCAGCCCAACCAGCAACCCACCTCAGCCCAGCCTGCCCAGCCCAGGCCCCGGCGCATCTCAGGGCATGCCAGCCACTACAGCTCCCAGCCCACCAGCAGCCCCCAGTCCGCTGCCCAAGCAGCTCAGCCCAGGCTGACCAGGCCTTGATCCCCAAGTCATCCAGCAGGCCCAGCCCCTTCGGCGCAGTCTGAGACCGGTCTCAAGGTATGCCAGCCTGAGACTAGCCTCAGGCCCAGTCCCTCAGCCCGCCTGCTGGCGTGTCTTACGTGTCTGCGACTGAGGCTGGGTGGCGAGTTGCTGGCTGGGCTGGGCCTGAGGCCAGTCGCAGACACGTAAGACACGCCAGCAAGCGGTCTCAGGCTGGCATACTTTGAGACCAGTGTCAGAGGTCAAGGCCTGGCCAGCCTGGGCTGAGCTGCTTGGGCAGCCGGACTGGCACGTCAGACAGGCTTAGTAGCTGGCATAGCTTGAGACCAGTCTCAGACACGTGAGACTGGTCGTTGGCCTGAGGCCAGTCTCAGACACGTTGGACAAACCTGACCACGCTGAGCCTGCTGGTGGGCTGGGAGCTGGGGGCCGGCCTACTAGTGGCTGATGCTCTGAGATGCGCCGGGGCCTGGGCTGGGCAGGCTGGGCTGAGGTGGGTTGAGGCTAGTCTCAGCCACAAGGCTGCGAAGCCATGGGTGGGTTGCTGGCTGCCGGGCAGCCGGACTACGCTGCTGGTTGCGCCTAGAACTCGGGCTGGGCGGGCTGGGCCGAGCTGTGCTTGGGCGGGTTGCTGGATGGGCAAGGCCTGTTTCATACACACCAGGCGGGCTGAGGGACTGGGCTGGCGAAGGGGCTGGGCCTGCTGGATCAGTCTCAGACACGTGAGACTGGTCGTTGGTGGGCTGAGCCTGCTGGTGGGCTGGGAGCTGGGGGCCGGCCTGGTGGCTGGCATGCCCTGAGATGCGCCGGCTGGGCTGGGCTTGCTGGATGAATTGGGGCGCGGGTTGCTGGTTGGGCTAGGCCTGTTTTAGACAAGGCTGGGCTGGGCTGACAGGCCTGGCCAGCAGGCGGGTTGCTGGTAGTCTCAGACACGTCAGACAGGCCTGGCCAGCAGGAGGTCATGCTTTTCAGGACAAAAAAGCATTTTTTGTGTTTTTTGTGTTTTCGCAATTGTCAGCACATTTTCAGACAAAATGGACCCATGGAGCTGGACGCCGACGAACCCCGAAAATTTCAATGCCCGCCGGACAGGATTTTGGGCCAGCCGACATGGGTGGGAAAAGCACCCTTGGCCCTGTTTGGGGCCGAGGCGAATTGTCTTCTCTTCGGTTGGTTTCCCGGCCGTTTTTTCGCTTTGTTGGGCCCCTCCGCAGCTCGCGCAGCTCGCGCCTCCCTCCTTGAGGCGCGCCTACAAGCGCCCGGTGCTGAAGCCCAAGGCGGCCCCGGACCCGGTGTCGCAGCAGCTGGCCGCGCTGAAGGCGCGGTCGCTTGGTTTCGGTTCCGCCAATTTGCTTGGAGTTGAAGTTTTGAGCCGAATCAGTGCAGTTGTTTAGGCACTTGATTGGTTTCTGCTCCAATTATTTGTTTGGAGTGTTTTTTTGCACCAGTTGGAGTTGAAGAGTTTTTTGTATTTTCGGCAGTTTGAGGATAAGTGATGGAGTTGGCGGCTTCGCCGCTCAAATGCTTGGATGTTGAAGTTGAAAGGCAGTTGGATTTAACATGATTTAACGCAATTTCGTAGCTGATGGTTGCATGTAATGTTTGAAGCCAGAAGGTTTGTTGTTTTATTTGCTGGGAATCGGAATCCAGGAGGCTTCTTAGAGCGAAATTGATTTCGCAACCACAGCATGGGTGCGACTTATTTTTGAGGCTCGGTGCCCCCTTTTCTGTTGGTGTTGTTTCCAAAAAAGAAGCCAAAAGGAGGGTTTCATTGAGACAAACCCAGAAAGGAACCCCAAGAAAGTAGACCCCCAAGGAGTTCCCCAGGGGAGTGACTGACCCAGCCCAAGACCGCTACGCAGTACTTGGAACCTATGGGAAATTGACTGGGTCCCTAGAATTGGCTTTTTGACTTCTTGCCTTTGGTGTCCTATCACCTTCCCTTTAAAACCACAAACAGTTTTTTGCAGGGGGTCCAAGTCTGTTCAAGCCTTGAAGTTGCATGTTGAATGCATCTCTTCTTAAATTATTTTTGGTTTCTCGGTGGGGGTTAGCCCTTTAAACTACCAGAGGAAGCGTGAGGGTGTCACTTTGAAGGATGTCACTTGGATGTAGGTCGCAGTCTTAAAGAATTCCTTACTTCCAGGCCCCCAACCAGGCAACGTGATGAGCTACTTGAAGTGTTGGTGTACGGGTAGAGGTCAAGCGTGACAATCCCAGGTCTTTGTTTCAAGGCAGCTTCCGAGATTTGGACATGGTTCGAAATAGCGAGCCTTGCAGATGGTAACGATCGGAGATGGACCCGAAGGATACCAACAGTTCAAGGGCTTCACAACTGTGCACTTATGAGACACATCTTTGTGTGGAAAGCTTTTGCCGTTTGTTACTGTGACCTTTTCGATTGTAGTGGGATGGATGTAGCAACCGTGCGCAACTCACTGATTCTGAAAGGTTCAAAGCCTGCAAGTTGTTGCACTGGTGAACAACAAGCCATGTTTTATGGCTGTGTAGGCCTTCACCAAAGTATGCGTGAGCTCATTAGAACACATCGGAGGCGGGCGGAGGCTTCCATGCAAGACAATGCAAGCAGGGCAGGGCATGCCTCGTTAGGAGAAGACCATCGACTCTTTCTCCTTGATGCTGTGACCTCAGACATGCGGCACACGTTTTTGTGGTTGCGATAATCAATCCTTCCATCAGGGCATGTTTCTTTATGGCTCTTTGGTAACGGATCTTTGGACTGAACAACTTGTTGGTTGAACCAGCTCGGATTTTCCGGATTGGACCCTTCAAAAGGAATATGTTTTTTTTGCAGAGCGGTCGCTACAGCAACCAAGGTTTAGTACATGTTTGTTCAAGGCACACAGCTTGCGATTGCATTCGGTCCTATGATCTTAGGCACGAGTCAAAGTTCCTGCGGTGTCCCTCTGTTGTTGAGTCCCCACCTAAGATAGAAACAACCCAAAGTAAAGAGGAACTATGGGTTTGAAATGAGTCGCAGATGCCCTTTGCGAGCCTCAACAACCTCAATATTCATGGCGATAGGTTTGGTGAAAGCTACTGGTAGCCTTTTAAGTCCATTTGGGGGATGGGAGACTCACTAGGGGTCTCACCCAAGTTCCCATGTGCTTTATGGCAAACAAGAAATGTTGGCCGTGATTGAGTAGGCTGGTCGATCTTGATTGATCTTCCCCTTATTCATGGTTTTTCTTCATTCCACACCCCTACCTTTTCACCATGCGTCTGAAACACATTGTTTGTCATTGTGTGACGTACATTCGAATATAATATGTATATTATATATATATATATATATTATAGATATGTTACATACACGCAGCCATTGCAGGTAGCGAGGTTCAAGAGCGTCTAGAGCAAGTGGATTGGAGATGCAAACGTCACACACTGGCCAGCACCCGTATGTCACAAGCAGCTCGCTCCATTTCATCTGCAGGGGCTGTTGCGCCTGAGCTTAGTCATAGAACTTTTCCGAGGACCCCTCAAACACACCTCCAAGGGGGTGTGTTGGGGGGGGGGGGCTGGGGTCAGGGGGGGGGGGATGACCTTGCCTCTTGATGTGTATTGTTTTTGCCAGTGCCAAACTTCGAATTGATCTGAAGCTGTTCGTCAATCTGTGTTTTTGTCGAAGAACATGTTTATGGCAGTGATTCGTGCCTCGCCGCGCAGTCTATCCCCGCAACAGAATTATTAGCCATGTATATATATATATATAGTACTTGTAGGTGTATAAACATATATATATATATATATGTCTTTACACACACATGTTCAGCAACCTTTGTCCCCCCCCCCCCCGGGCACCCGAACCGGTTCCAAGGTGGACGGACGACGCAGAGCTGCGGGGGGTGGCATCCTTGGCCATCCGCCTCATGGACGGTCTCGAAGGCCCGGGCATAGACTTCTGAACGCGGACCTGAGTTCAGTTTGGGTGGGCAGACCTTTTTCTTGGTGGTTCCCAGCCATCCGGTTCCCCGGGTTTTTCTTTCGGTTTTGAGAGTTTAGTGGTTGGGTGTCCATTTGACCAACTAAAAGTTAAGCTTTTTTGCAGGGGATCTGAGGACAACCCAGTTTTGCTGGTTGGCTTCCACAGTCTTGACATGTTTGCGGGATGGAATTGGGAAACCCAAGGGTGCCATTTGTCATTTGCTGGTTGGTTTGCCCTTGAGACCAAGCAACGGCCGATTTGGCAGGCCCCAGCGCTTTGCCCTTTGCCGCCACCTTCGTGGGGCAGATGCTGCGGTGCCGCCGAATTTACAAAGAGGGAGGTTTGTGACCGCGCAGTTTGCAGACCTCCCTGCAGGTGTGGGCTGCTCCGAGCTGGGGCTCGCCAAACTCTCGCGTCCCTTTCCAACTTCCGCTTGAATAGGTCGGTAACTCCCCGACTTTGGGTGGCGCCTGAAAGAATCTCTTCGCTGAGAGGACTTAGCAACTTTGAAGTTCCTTTAAACTTTGAGGAAAGAGGTCACAAAGCAAACCCTACACATCTGCCTATTTTGTTGCGAGCTCACCGATTCGAGGGTAGAAGGAGCGAAAGCCATGATAAAGGTCATTTACTTGGGGATCCCAAAAATATCAGCTTTTGGAATCTCTACAAGCTGGCTTTCTATCAGCAGATATGGCCGGTCGTCACGAGTGCAAAAAGGTGAAGTAGCGGGCAATATGTTCCATTGAACAATAATCATAAACTCCAACAGTTCCATTGTAAAGGCAAATCTATAAATATCTGTAAAAGGGGTGGTTCCCCCCTTTTCAACAATTTGAAAGCAACACTTTTTTTTTGCGGGGGGGGAGGGGGTTCCAGGTTCATTTGTGAAGTGGTCTCCAATCTGGCCAGGCTGGCAATGTGGAAGGGCGTCGCTCCCATGCTAGCGCACCACGCCGCCACAGGCAAGGTAGTAGGGTCAAGGCAAGGTGAGTCACACCCATCATCCCCATTCAGCGGTAGGTTCAATGACCCCAGCTGCTGACTTGGATAATCTTGCAGCGACAGGTAGGGAATGGCCTTCGACTGGGTGTTGGGAATGAACCGGTTTTGGGGATTCCCGAACAAAGGAAACCATAGGGGATGGTTTATGGGGATCACTGAGAAAGCCAAAACCCGGGTAATTTTAATTGGAGGGGGACAATCCATGGTTCTGGGACCATTTGAATGCCGGATTTTGGCTATGACTCTAAGGCTAAGTCTAAGACTCTCAGTAGACCATCGGCTGGTCCCCACAGCTGTGGCAGTATTCGTGTGAACTCCTCAGGCCAAAAGATGGTTTGAAACCTCAAAGGTAGAACTTTGGTGTTGGATCCTTCAGTTTTGCTTTGGGACTAATTTGTTTGTCCTTGCAGCAGGGTCTTTGCAGCAATCTTGTGAACATTGGACACGAACATCAATAATGATGTGAACCAAGGGTCCCCAATATCAATGTCAGCGTAGACTCATATCAGGCATCCAATTTCTTGGGGACACGTTCGATGGGAAACATGGGCTGAGCAACGGACTTTACTGCCGAGGGGTCCGGCCCCGGCAAAAAGTGTCATTGTGTCCCGCTGGATTGGGAAAGGCAACGGCCACCAAGTCATTTAGGCGGGGGCACGCACTCAAACCATCCTGACGCAGTAACTGTCCATGTCATAGGTTTTCCAATGACAACCGCAACACGCACTATGTAGGTTGCTTGAAGCAAGAGTACCTCCTGCTGACACTTGATCAAGTTGGGCAAAACTCCCGTGTTGGGGCGCCAATCTCTGAAGGGGCCACACATGACGTCACGAGAACTGGTTGGACACACCTGTTTTGTCAGACACAGCTGCGCTGTTAAAGCAAGCTGAACGTGAGCCCCAGCAATAGGGTTGGATAGTCAAAGATCAGTTGTCACTTGGATACTGACCAGCTGCGTCAAAAACAATGCATTAATTCTTCTAGTCGCCGAGCTTTCACCAGCAAAAGCGTGCATTATGATCAGACTCATGAACCCCAAAATCCCAAAAGTTGCTTTCCAAAAGATCACCTCGAGTCCCCAAAGTTCCTTCAAGGCCCCCGATGGTTTTTGGCCCTCAAAAGATGGTGCTTGTTTTCACCGGGCTTCACGGAGCTTTTCGAGTCCTGAAGCCGAAGGAGGCTCGGGGAAGGAACCGAAATCCACCGGCAGTTCGTTTCTCAGGCGCTTTCCTTCCCAAGAGCAGAGCTCGGCCAGGCATCGCGCGCATCGCGGAGTCCCATGCGGCGATGGGCCGCCTGCCAGCGCCGCAACTGCCGGAGCCCTTCCCGGAACATTTGCCGGGGCAAACAAGGTTGTAAGGGGTAGCCTTTTCACCATGGTTTTAAGGCAAGGCAAGAGGAACGCCAACATCTTTTGGGTAGCGCTATTGTGACGTATACCAATTTTGGGTGCCCAAATGCATCGCAAAGGGTATCCTTTTGTGGGAAACGTGGCTGAGCGGCCGTTTTTTGGTGGTATCCTTTTCAGTTTGGAGTTTGGACAACCAAGACTCGGGCGGCCGTGATAATGCTTCATGTTTTTTTTGTTTTTTGGCCAGGAAACACTGAACAAATATCAATTTAATGGAAGACCACTGACATAAGAATCAGCGGGACTAGATGACGGCTATATCTGTTGAGTAACACACACTGAGCACAAAAGATCCATGGAGACACATGCACTGTCGAAGATCAAACTCACAGGCATGTGTTGTACATGCCAGAGCCGTTTGTTGAAGCACGTGGATGATTTCTTCCTCTTTCGCAGGAGCCAGATGCGACCACTTCTCGCACCGCAGTTTTCGACCGCGTGGCGGCCTCATACGATCGCCCATCCAAAGACTGCGAGGCCGGGCCTGTGCAAAAATCCCGAAAGAGGTCGAAGGGGAGAGACATAGGCGGGATTGAGGGAACCCTCCAAAGGGTGAATTCCCCTCCGGTTTCCCTTTCATTTCCCTTTAAAACAACCATCAAACAGGTGACCCCCCGGTGTGTGACTTGGGTTGAACAAAGACGGCAATGGCTCCAGTTTGGTTCTGCATGTTTTACGGTTTTTTCTTCGCTGTGACCCTGAAATGGGCTCAGCACTCTTGGAAGTCGCTATCACGGTGCATGAGCCGCCCTAAAGCTATTCACGGCAACAACGTTTACGTGTCCCTAAATTGGATGGGGGCGGAGGGGGGAGCGGGGTGGGGTGAGCCCCTTTTGGATAGTCGTGTTTCGTCTTCTTTCAACAAGCCAAAAGAAAGCGCAAGAGGCATTATTCAAGAGCCGGTGTTTAATGGCTGCAATTCCCATCCAGCCCCCAACGACTGCTTCTTCCCATTCCACTAGCCCCAGAGCTTTCCAAGAAGCAGTCGTGGGGTGCTGAACTCTTTGGCCTTTTCTTCATTGTTATTGGCATGTTGATTATTGTTTTAGGTTGTTGGTTCTGTTCTTTTAAGCTGTGTGTTTTTTTTCCAGGCCACTGGTGGCCGCGGTGAGTCCGGCTTCAGGTTCGGCTGCGTGGGGTCTCACCGCTGGCTCGCTTCGCAGGAGTTGGTGAATGCCTTGCCGCGCGGAGTGCTGGGGTCCATCATCAAGGCGCTCGGGTGGATTCGACTGAAGCAGGTGAGGGGCTATATCATGGCAAACATGTTGCTTCCGGAATCAGGTTTAGTAGAATACACACGCACCAAGGAAATGGTGCTGTTTAGAGGAGAAGCCTAAGTCAGGTTCGTGAAAGGAAGGGCGAGGACAACAACCGTTTGCTTCCGTGATTGGGAAATCTGGTTTAATAAGGGTCGCCTAGTTTAGCCAATAAGGTCTGGGCGTGTCTCATTCTAAAAATGAGACATGCCTAACCCTTATTGGCCAAATATGTGGGCACAATTCCAGGATGTGTGAATGGGGGCAGGGGGAATCAGCAGAGGCTAGAAACCAAAAAAGACAAACGCGTCTGGATTGTACAACCCCCGGAGCGGAGGTCCTGAGGGCGGCCTGGAGGAGGCATTTGAATCTGTAGCTTCGAATGATTCTGTTGCACCCCCATTTTGTTTACTCATCTTTTTTTGGTCAGAAACTACAATTGTTTTCGGGTTTGGGGCCATTTCAGAATGGAAGGATCCTTGAAGAGAATGGCGGGCACGCCTTAAATAGGCTTCCACTGAAAACTTGCCTAAAACTGCCAGCTTTTTTTTTGTTGACGGCTACATGGGCCACACGGTTTTATGCAAACCTGGAAAAGGCTTTGTGGACTTGGTTTGCTTTTGGTTCGACCGAAACAACCTTTCTCCCTTCTGTGATATTAGAGCTATCCCGGTAGCAAACTGCTCAGAGCCTGGATATGGGTATGTGTCAAAATAGCGGCACCCAACCAAATTGTGGTTTCCTTTGGGTTTCCCTAACCAACCTAAGAATGCTACCCTTGGAAGACACACCCATAGACGCCAGAAGCTACCGCTGGGGCAGAAGCGGGCAGGTTTTTTTTGGCTCTGCGAGGCGCAAGCCACTTTCCGCGGCTACGTCTTCCGAGCCCGGTACTTCACCAAGGCCCGCGCCGCACGGAGTCCCAGGCGCCGCACACTTCGAGAGGCAGGCAAAAGGCAACTGTGGGGGGGGGGGTGGTAGGGGCCGCCCCGTTTCAACCATATTTCTTTTGTTGAACCGTTTGGTTTTCCAGGTTTGCTCAGGTTGATTTCCAAGCCAACTAGTTGTCCTCAGCACCCACGACTGCTTCTTAAGAAGCGGGAAAGCACAGAGTTGTTACAGGCTGCTGCTTCAGGCCCTGTGACTGTCCATTTTGATGCCCTGCCCTGCACGGCAGCGAGTTGTGTTTTACCGGTCTCCCCATTACCCTTTGCAAGACCCAAGGCCCCTTTCAGCTGATCACTTCGAAAGAAGGTAATGCCATGGGCGCACAGGTGTCCCTTTTTCGGTGATTTGTTGAGGTCGCCCTTTCTTGGTCGATGTTCAAGGGGAATGAAAGGGACAACTACCATGTTGGACCCACGTAAACTTATCGTTGCCATGTACCAGTTCCTACACCTTAGGACATCTTGCTCGGACACTTGGTGTACCAAGTGCCGCGGCAACTTCGAAATTTTCGGAACTGGCCGGGCTACTTTCACAGCGAAGCCCATTGTGCAACCATGCCGCGGCTGAGGTATGTAATGATCCCGCAGGGGTAGAGCTGGATGTACCGGTTTGCTTTTAGTTGAGCTTCAGTTAAGTATGTTTGTTAAAACCAAACAAATACATTTATACCATGTGTTTTGCTTTTAGTTGAGTTTGTTAAAACCAAAGACACATTGTGATTGTTTATAGATCTCTGTCAAGCAGCCGGTCTGTCCCTCTTTGGCCTCTTGAAATTGAGGCCTTTGGGACCCATAGACTAAGGTCGCAGCCTATTGCAAGGCGGGGCAACGGGACTGACGAAAATCGGCGGGCGGAAGGCGTTTTCTCCAGGCTTTCCGTGGGAGGGAACTGCTATGGCTGCTATGGTTGCTTTCCTTGCGAAGATGTTTCTATTTCTGCGAGCTGCAGGGGTTGGAAACAAATGGCCGGGCTTGCTGGCAGCACTGTGCGACAGAAACAAGGAGTGGCCTGTGTGTGTGTGAAGTGGTGAGCGGTGGTTTCCTTGTGGTGTCTTTTGAACAAAACATCAGCTTCAGCTGATTTCTTGAGACGTGAGGCCCAAGAAGCTAGCGCCTTCTTTGCTTTGTTGTGATTGTTGTTTGAAGGTTTTGGGGCAAGATGTGTCCTGTTCAGCGTCATCGTACAAAAAGTTCCCCTGCACACGTTCCGACATTTCGGCAGTTTGAAGCAACTCCGGATTTGTTGTGGCAGTCGTTGGCGACTCAAGACTGCCGCCAAAACAAGGCCAACTGTCCAAGAGGAGCAAACTGCTTTTTGAAAGAAGGAGCAGCGTAAAGTTGGGATGTTTCGAACTACCTTGTCAAACCTTTCACCTTTTTCGTTTCTCAGTTTGGAGCCATGTCTACTCTGCAGATTACCATGTAGCCAAAAACTACCATTTTCCGAGGACTTTTGCGGTTGCTAGGCTCAGTGGCTTTTTTCTGTGCCGGTCTTTTGGACGAGGCAGAACTAGGGCTCCTGCATTTCCAGAGGTAGCCTTCCTTGACTTCCTGTTCCAGAAACTGTCCAAGACATTTCCTGACTTAGCAGACATGAGTTGGCCCAGCTCTTTGCTTACTGCAAATCATTCTTGTGGAGCTCTTTTTAGCTTTTGGAGGGATACTTTTGTTCCAGTGCTGGGAATCCAGCCCAGCGGAGTAAAACCACGCACAACTATCCAGATCTCTGTTCCGAACAGCGGATCACTCTGGTAGGGTTGCTCGCCCAAATCTGTTGAGAGACATTGGTCGCCCAAAATTGCTTCGTAAGTTGTCGAATTCCCCCCTTCCCAAGCACAGCCTTGAGGAGTAGAGCAAAACACCCAAACCCAGAGCTACCAACTGGTTGACCCCCCACACATGTGTGGCTTCCCTTCTCTTTTCCAGTCCAACAACAGCACAAAAATTGACTGTTAAATATCCAAGAAGCAACACACATGTCTTTTTCCACGCTTGTTTTGTTGGGCCTGCAAGGTTAGATGTCACCTTTGGCCCCAAAATCTTCGGTGTCACCAACATGAAACTTGTTGTGTTGGTCACGGGCGCCCGGCTCTAGGCGGTGGCGTGGCCGGAGCTGCACCCGCAGCTGGACCGAAGTCGCGAGTCGCGAGTCGCTTCTTGGTGGACTGAACCTCACTCCCGATCGAGGTCATGGACTTGAACGTCATGTTTTGGGTGTGCACCATTTTTCATGCCAAACAACAACTTTGGGCTTTTTGCCAACCCACCAAGGGAGCGAGAACATGATGAACGCGAGACATTTGTTCAAATCCTAGGTGTTGAGTTGAACGCTGATGATATATGAGTGTGTGTGTGTGTGATTTGTTTAGGGGAATCCATGTTTGGGATTGTGAATACTGGAAGCCAGAGGGGCACCAAGCAATCTTCGGGGGTACCCCGTACCCCCGATTTTAAGACAAACAGACCCCATTTCCCTTTTTGGTGTTTTGACACCTCACCTTTTTTGCCATGGCCCAGAAGCGCGTTCCCTAGATTCAGGTTGAACCCCAGCCAGATCTCGAGTCGGGCGATTCGGATTTAGTTTACATATTTTTCCAAATGGCTGTGTTTTTTTGAGGGTACCTTTTTTGTGTAGTTTAAAATGGCAACCAAAGGAACAAACGACCATTTTAGGGGTCCACCACAAAAAAAGCAGACCCAAGAGAACAATGACCATGGGCAACCTCTCAAATAACGTCAAGGCGCCCTTTGTTTCGCATGATTTTCACCGGTCTCGAGATTTGTTTTGCGAGATGCCTTGAGCCAGCATGTAGCATGACATTGTTTGTGTCCTTCTGTTTACACTGTTGCCTCTAAGGAGGCATTCCAGCCTGTGGCTTATATGTCAAGATCCGATTTTGCCTTCTAGAGCTCTGTTCTGTGAGCCTGAATTTCAGGATTTTGGAGAAATCTCCATCTGGAGGACCCCTTTCTTGGGTTCCATGTCAATGTTGCGCGGGAGTACCTGTGAGGGTGGTGTTGCGCACACACACACACAAACAGCACGACGGATAGCTTGAAGTGTAACGAAACGAGTTGGATCTGTTTTGGCTTAAATGGAGATCCCTGCCATTTGATGGTCCAATTGGCTCCAACAAATAGCTGGAGCAACAGGTTGTTTAAATAGTTTGTGTGGGGATCTTTGTACGTGTTGCAAGATGTCCCAAGCACTACATTGCCAAGAATCTCACATGCTGTTAAACCATGGGAAACCCTTGTTTGTTGGTATTCACAGGGGAATTTCAGGGTTTCTTAGGTGGCCACATTAGCCTGATTTGTTCAACTGCGGGGATTCCCCAATGAGGCGCACATACACACATACGGAACATTTTCTCATTGCCGAACAAAAAGTGTCGTTTTGGTTTAATTAACCTTTTGACGTATGGTTTTCCACAAGTCATGTTCCCTTTTCAGCCAGCAAACTTGTTTTGTTTTTTTCCTTCCGGGGGTCTATGTTTGGGTCAGTTCTTGCTTCGATATAGCTGGAGCCGGAATCAGCAAGACGATGCAGGAAGGCGAGACCGTGGAGATGCCATCGGAGAAGGACAAAAAGAAGCTTGGAAGGAAAGATATCAGGTGACTCTTCATTTGTGGTTTGGATTGGTGGTTCGGATTTGGATTTGAAATGCTGGCTTTTTGTTGAGGGTAAATGGGAAAGCCCTCCTGAACCACCAAACCACCGGGCTCCAAACCACCAATTAGAGGGAAGCTGATATAGGTTTGTCTTTTTGTTGAGGATACCCCTCCAGAGGCTACTTTAAGACAATATGCAGCTTCGTGCCGTTCAATGAGTCAAGCGGGGGAACGAACTGGAGTGGAGAACAGCTTGTTGATGCCTTTCAGTCACACATGGGAGTTGACAGGAGTGGAAGAACAACAACATCGCAGAGGGGCTGCTTTGAGACATTCAACCTGACAAGAGGATGTTGAGGGCTTGTTGGTTGTTCTTTCAGCAATCATCAAACAGCAGTGAGTGTTTGCCGAGGAAGAAGAAGTCCAAGATGGACAAGAGCGGCATGGCCTGCCCTGGCTTGTTTCATTGCGCTGCTCGGAACTGAACACGACCGGACCGTCCTTCTGACATGAGGTTTGGCTTGTTGCTGTGCGCTGGTGCATGAGAGTTGGGGACGATTAAAACTAACTAAATATCTAAAGTGTTGCACAACATGCTGCCATGGAGCATGGATATCCCATGGCAATGGGCGAACCATGTTACAATGTTAAACCGGTCCTTTTAAATGTACCGGCCAGGCAAGCAGCAAGGCAGATGCTTCCAATCTCAATCAAACCATCAGCGACTTCCAGCCGACAGTGTCCAAGTGCGCCATACCCGTTGCGTTGCTCAAGCGCGCACATCCATTGCCCCCGCATGTTTGGGCAACCTGCAAACCGGTCGCTTTTGCGGGTCGTTTCAGACAGGCTCTCATTGCCGAAAGCATTTCAGTCAAGGTTGACAAGGTGCAGAAGAATATGTTGTTGATGGTTTTGCAGGAGCTGTCAATTCAGTTGTGAGAGGTCCACTCCGGTCCTCTCCCTGATTCTTCCCAGTAGAGAGTACCAGGATGAATCGGGGGGGTTCCTAGGGGGCCCTGAAGGGAGGTGTCGTTTGGGAGCTTATCAACCTGATTTTCGTATAAACATGTCATACGACCTTTGCCGTTTCCGGCGAAGTGTACTTTCCGGTCTTGGGAGAAGCAAGCCTTGGGACTGGAAGGCGCGTTGGATCGAACCCGGCGACACTTCAGCTGTTCATCTGATATGCAAAAGGCCATGGTAGCTGCAAATCGGTTGCAGATGCTATGGAACCGCCTCCTCACGTGACCAGTCCAGTCCGGAATGCGTGGAATGGTGCAGACGCGTGGAAAAAAACAAAATTGGATCAACACGCAGATGTCAGACTCGTGAAGTCTCGGTCAGTGAGCCACTGGAAAGTGTTGCGCCGACGTCCGAGGGTTGCGCCTGTGCCTGCGCCACGGGGTGTTTTCCGTTTTGGCCCAAGGCCTACCCCCTGGGGTGCCGGCAGTCCGGCAGTTGTTGGGTCCAACGCAGGTACCTGGGCGGCGAGGGCAACTCTACGAAGCAGGGCCCGGGGTCTGGAGGCTCAGGCAGCAGGGGCTTGGAGCTTCTTGCAGATGTGACTGAGAGATTCTTTGCGCAGACTTGGAACTCAAGGCCCGCAGGCTTCTCTTGCGGACTAGGCAGCCCCCGCCCACCTCCCCCCCAATATGTTTAGAGTTACTTTTCCCGTCAGAGAATAGTTATTTATGGGGTACCATGGTCTCCCTGGTTTTTCCCAACAGGAAATTGTGCTCCTGCCCACTGGACGAGGGGGGATGTCTTGTTCACCCTTCCTTATTAAAGGTTTCTTGCTGGAAGAGCAAGACAGGCAAGGCAGGTTAGGAAAGTACTTCCCCTAATACGATGCTGGCGGTGGGGCCGGTTTTTGGGTGTTTGCCTTAAACATACAGATTTGTTTAGTAGGGGTGGACTCAAGGATGATACGGGGAGCAAACTAGTGCCAATCAGCGCAAACCCTGA